TTACTGGAGACTTCTGCTCTGAGAAAACCTGCTTAGCTTGCTCCCCTTCTGGACCTTGGGTTATTTCTTCCTCTGGGTGGATGTCCTTCTTCTGGGTCAACAGGCTTTGCCTCCAGGCAGTGCATGGCGAGGTCTGGGGAGGGGTACAGGGAGGGAGCCGCTGGCCTGCAGCCTGGAGGCCAGAGAGGCTGCTCATCCTGTAGCTCAGGAAGCCCTTGCGGCAGGGAGAGTCCTCCAACCCATCAGGCCCACAGCACCACCGAGCTGAGAAACCTGGTCTGGATCTTTTCACAACTCAGTCCTTCTAGCCTTTCAGGCCTTAGTTGAAATGCCAGCTCCCCCAAGAAGAGATCCCTGGACACCCTCTGCATAGCTTCTCTGAAGTCACCGCCTTTACTATCCTCATGGCCCCTATCTTTGGTGAATGCTTAAATTAAAAAAAATATTGATTGCAGTAAAATACATTGCCATGAGTCCCCCTCAAAATCCTCCTCCTCGATTTGAACACTCTTGTCCATTGTTCTTGTCCTTTCTGAGCAGTTCTGGATGTCCTCGACTTAGCAAGACCTTGTCTCAAAATTAAAAAATAAATAAATACAGTCAGGGCTGGGAATGTAGCTCAGTGCAAAAGCCCTGGGCTCAGTCCCCAGTACTGCAAAACAAAACAACAAAACTCGAGGGCTACAGAGCTGTGCACAGAGGAGTCCAGAGCCAACGTTCCCGCCCTACAGGTCCAGGGGTGGGCGTCGGCTTTGATACTGTCCTGTGGACTCAAACCCCAGAGGCCTCTGGGCACTAAGCAGTGTCCTGTGTGGTCATCCTCCTTGGAGTTCACTGCCCTGGCGCTGATTGGGAGAACTCGCCCAAAGCCAGGTCCCAGGCCCCTTGCGTCTCATTGCATCACTCTGCGGTCAGCCTCTTTCTCCAGGAAGCACCCTTCTCCCCTCCTACGTCCTCATTCAACCAGTGCCCGAATCAGTGTTCCTTTAACAAGGGACCTCTATGGTTTTATCCCCACCCCAGTGGATTGGGTCAGTTAGAGGGGCAAAGGGACAGACCTGTCATGCATCCATATTAAACGGCCAGAGTGCTTGTACATTGATCCCTGAGTCATTCTGTAAGAATCCACCAAACTGTCTTCCCAGACTGTGGCCAGACCAGTGTGCATTTTCACCAGCCTCACTGGCCTCTGGGGATGTCAAGGCTGTGGATTCAGGTCATGCTAGCATGCATGCAGTGCTATCCTGCGGCTGCTCTGATCTGTACTTCCCTAATGTCAAATGGTGTGGTGCATCTTTTCACATGCTTTAGGCCTCTGTGTCTATTCTTTGGCGAAGTGTCTGTTCAGATCTTTTGCCCATTTTTAATTGAGTTGTTTGCTTATTGTTGAGTTTTAAGAGTTCTTTGTACAATCATGATACAAGTCCTTTACCTGATACGTATTTTGCAAATATTTGGTACTGGGGATCACACTCAGGGACTTCACACTGAGCTACATCTCCGGCCCTTTTTTTTTTTTTTTTTTTTTGAGATGAGGTTTTACTGAGTCACTAGGTGGCCTGGTTGGGACTCAAAACTTGCAATCCTCCTGCCTCAGGCTCCCAGAGTACTGGGATTACAGACGTGCACTACCATGCCTGGCTTATTTTGCAAATATGTTGTCCCAGGTTTCAGCTCACATTTTCTTTCTCTGTCACTTGAGTCATTTTGGATAATCCAGAGTAAAGATGGTTGGAATAAGTGAGTTAGGGAGAGGGGAGGACAAACCAGTGGTGATAGCTCAGAGAGCAAAAGATGAGCTAAGGGAACTGGTTGCTCCACGTCAGCCTTTCACCCCATGAAGAAGTACACAGGGAAGTCAGATAGCCACTATGCCGGCGGGAGTGTCAATGGCCCCACTCACTCACAGGGTAGTTGGGAATCCCTAGAGAGTCCAGGATGCTCAGACCTCTCAAGCCAGATACTGAGTTTCTGGATATTTCCAAAGATGTTCTCCTGCAACGAGCACCAGCAGCAAAATTGGAAGATGTTTATCACGGATATGTTTGGAATAGCAAAAAAGTGGAAACAATATAAATGACCATCTTTTAAAAAATCAAAAGGATATATCAAAACAGAAGGCCTCTACCCATACATGATGCCACATGTCTCAGCATTCTGGGAGGCTGAAGCAGGAGGATTGAAAGTTCAAGTCCTGCCTAGGAAACTTAGCAAGACCCTGTCTCAAAATAAAAACTAAAAAGGGTTGGGATATTGCTCAGTGCTAAGGCTCAAGGTTCAATTCCCAGTACTAAATAAATAATTGGCTTCTATAAGACAGTTAAACCGAGTATCTGTCAAAAATAAACCCCAGCAGCATAACAGTATGGGTAGGGAGCAATTTGAAAACCGTTCAGTGTGAAAATATGCATTTGAAAACACAGAAAGCAATTCTTTCCATTGCTGATGGAAAGGTAGCAGAGTGTAAATGTATGAAAGAAAACACGCCAACTTCAGGATAGGGGTCACCTCCAGAATTGGATCCCAAGGGATCCAAAGACAAAAATCAGAAACACGTGAAGCTAATAATAATAATAATAGTAATAATAATAATAATAGTAGTAGTAGAACATAAATAAATAAGTACAAGGTACATGATTATTTATTGTAATCCCTATAGTTTCCTGAACAATTCTGTAATTTTAAAAAGAAGTAGTTCTGAAAGATGTCTCTATGTTTTCTAACCCCCTCCCCCCCTAGCTCTGCCTCCTAAAGACAGGGAAACCGAAGCCTGTAGGGCATGGGGATGGAGCTACAGGATGGGAGGTGCTGGCGTGGGGAATGAGACCAGGCAGGTGATTTGGAGAGGAGACCAGCTACCCACTTCCGGGATCCGATTTGGCTCCGCCCCCGCCCAGCTGTATCCATGGCAACCACGTCTCCCCTCGCGAAGGCTGGACCAAATCAGGGGCCTAAGAGCGCCGCTTTCTGTGAGGGGTCCCCAGGTGTGAGTCTGGGGGACATTCCTTAGAAATAAAGAACAGAGTCGTCCCGCCCTCTAGATTCCTTGTGGTTGCGTCTGCTGCGCCTTTGGCATCCGCAAGTCTTTTCAGAATTCGCTTTCTTTAACTTTCAGATGCAGCCATTGAGCTTCAAGGGTTTGGCAGACGCTTCCTGGTGTCCCACCTTGCTCAGGGCGTTTATCTGGGTGACTTCATAGGACCCCTCAGAGATCTCATGGCAAATCACTTGCAGACCCCAAGAGAGGAGGGGCTTCCTAACCTGCCAAGATGGATCACTATAGAGCTATATGCTTATTCTTTTGTAAAATGTTTTATACATGTGTTTTTCTTGAAAAGCAACATAAACCTGTAGAAAATGTGGACAATCATCTCAGCACCCACACATAAGCTGAGCTAGCATTTGGGTCTGTATCCTTCCAGTATCCCCTTCTGCATTCATTTGGGAGGATTTGGTTTCTTGCAAAATTGGAAATTCCTAGCCTCAGAGTGATTTTCAGCCACAGATCTGGAGACAAGTGGAAAGGAGCTTGGAACCCAGCTCCTTTGCTTAAGCACCGCTTGGAGCAAATAAATAAATCTCTCTACTCTCCAGTCTTCTGACCTGTCATATAGGGAAAGTAGTTATCATAGGGTCATTGGGTAGTTTTCAATGTCATAAGATGGGTAAAATACCAGCACAGTGTTGAACATATAGTAATCAGCAGAACCTCATACATTCCTACGATTGTAGCAGCAAAGCATATCATGCTCTAATTATAAAATTCTAGAATCCAGTTTTAAGCATAAAACATCACGAGTACTCTCTCTATATCCATAATTATAAAAAGAGCATGATTCATAATAATCACATAACTCAGTGTGTGGACGTACACAATAACTTATCTTACTAACTTTCCATCATTGGATTCGAAGATGGAGAGTTTCCTGAATTTTTTCCTTTTCTAAACCATTGCCACAGTGAAATCCATTATTGATTGTGGACTGTTGGTTTCTAAGCCTTTATGTTCAGGAAGATCTCCTTCTCCTCAAGGTCAAATAAATATCCTCCTAGATATATTTAGTTCCTTTTAGCTACTTCTTTTTTTTCTTTTGGCACCAGGGATTGAACCCAGGGCCTTCACACTGTGCTACATCTCCAGCCTTTTTGGTTCTTTGTTTTGAGATAGGATCATGTTAAATTGTTAAGTTGCCCAGCTGGACTTCAGCTCGTGATCCTTCGGCCTCAGCCTCCCATAGTGCTGGGATCACAGGTGTGCGCTACCATGCCCGGCTGGGCCACTTTGATTATGTTCTAGACTCGCCTGTGCCCTGGCTCCCAAATACACATGTTGGATTTGTGTGGGGCCCTGTTGGCCACACAGTGCTTTGTTGGGCCCCACCAAAGCTCTGCCTTTCAGCACTGGCTGCCCATGTCACCAAGGAATTGGCAATCCTTGGGCTCTTCTCTACCCACCACTGACTGCCTTGGCTTCCTTTTGCCTACCATGTAAAATCCTATATTTTTGTTAAGCCCCAAATTCACCTTCTTTGTGCTTGGTCACATCTCTCCATTGTCATTCCCATGACTTGGAACTCTCTCAATAGCACTTAGGCTCAGCCTCTCCATAGGTGGCAGATTGTATTTTCCATAGCTGGACTCACCGATAGATACTCATCCTAGGAGCTCTTTTTGCAAATTGACCTGGATGGTGGCCTCGTGTCTTCTCTCTCCATCCAGTGGACCACAGCCAAAGTGATGCTATGTGACACCTGCTAGTAAATCATAAAAGGACACAGCTTCTGCTTGATATCCCCTCCTCTCTCCCTCCCCTCCCCCTCCCTCTCCCTCTCCCTTTCCTTCAGAATCCAGCCGCTATTTTTTAAGGAAGTCTAGGCAATATGGGGAGTTCATATATGGGGACACCCCAACCTATAATCCCACTGGCTGGTCCTGACATACCTGTGAGAAAATGAGATGATTTCAGCTTCTCTCACTCCGTTTGTCTTCCTGAATTTCAGCTGAGGAGCCAGACATCAAGAAGCAAAGACAAAGCAGAGTGTGGTGGCACATCCATGTAGCCCCAGGACTCAGGAGCTGAGGCAAGAGGATCACTTGAGCCTGAGAATCCCTTTCCAGTCCGAGCAACATAGCAGACTCCATTTCCAAACAAAAACAAGGACATCAAGCAACCAAGAAAGAAAGACGAGGGGTGGAGGGAAGAAGAGAGAGTCGCCACTTAACAGGTACAGGGTTTCTATTTGGGGTGATAAAAGAGTTCTGGAAGTGGATGGTGCTGATCACATAGATTGTGAATGTTCTTAATGCCGCTGAACTCTATGGTTAAAATGATAGATTTTGTATTTTGTATATTTTGTCACAATAAAAAAATCCTATAAAAAAGTAAAATATAACCGATTGCTGCTCTACTCTCCCTAAATTCCAGAGCCGCAGAAATCAGCCCCACTAAATGTAGGGGTAATTTGTTATGCAGCAATAGCTAACTTTTTTTTTTTTTGTACCAGGGATCGAACTCGGGACATTGCGCTTGCGAGGCAGGTGCCGGAACCACTGAGTTGAATCCCTGAGCCCTAGAAATAGCTAACTTATACCACATGCTCTCCTGCTTTGCAGAAAACCCTAAATATGTGTCTTTTCCAGAAATTAAGTTCCAAAATTTAAAGGTAGATCTTCTCGAAGCACTGAAAATATTGCTAAGAAAATACTACTCAGTAAGTGTCTATCAACTTGTATTAGGATGTTCTAAGTGACAGATGTCATTTTCAGCTCTTGAATAATTACCAAAGTTACGTGCACTAGCAGTGTCTGTTATGGTTTGGAAAAAGAATGTCCCCCTGGGTTGGAGATATAGCTCCGTGGCAGTGTGCCTGCTTGAAAGCACAAAGTCCTGAGTTGAATCCCTGGTACTGCAAAAAAACAAAAAAAAAAGAAAAAAGAAAAAAAAGAATGTCCCCCAAAGACCTCACATGCTCCTAGGCAGGGCTTTTGGAAGGCGATTGAATCAGGGGCCTGATAGCTGACTTGCTGTCAGGAGGGGGTCTGGTCGGAAGAGATAGGTCACTGTGTGTGATCTGGAAGGGTAAATCTCCCTCCAAAGCTCCTCCCTTCTCTCTGTTTCCATGGCCACCACGATGCAAGCAGCCGTTCCTCTGCCATATCCCTCTGCCATCCGCTTTCTGCCTTGGAGCCAGCTGACCAGGGACTGCAACCGTGAAGCAAAATAAACCTTTCCTCCTTTAAGTTTTGGTGTTAGAAATTGTGTCTCAGCAATGAGAAGGTAACTAAGACAGTGTTTTAGTCTGTTTTCTGTTGCTATACCTGAATTCTAAAGACTGGGCCAGCTATAAGGAATAAGGCTTTATTTAGCTCATGGTTCTGGATGCTGCAAGGTCCAAGAACATGGCACTGGGTCTGCTCAGCTCCTAGCAAGTGCCTTCTAGCTGCACCATAACAAAGCATAGGGCATCATGTGGTGAGACAGAAAGCATGCCAGAGAGACCTTGCCTTTATAACAAAACCACTAACTATGGATGGATGAATCCATTCATGAAGGTGGAGTCTATGACCTCCCAAATGTCCCACCCCCAAATGCTATTAACATATAAATTTGGAGGTTAAGTTTCTAACACGTGGAATTGGAGAAATACATTCACACACCAGAAATCATAGCCCAGACTATTATTTTTTTTAATTAAATTCTTTTATGATACATTGTAGGTATACAACACATTTACATTTCTCATTGGGAATTGTACCTTTACATGATGCATCTTGGTTCTTATTTTTTCCCCATTCCTAGCCCTCCCTTCGCCCCCTCCACCCTTCCCTATTTACAAAGACTGTTTCCATTTTTTCTACTTCTCATAATTTTTCCTTTCCCTTCTTTCCTTTCCCCTGCCCCTCCCACTACCCCCACCCCTTTGGACCTTTTCTTCCCATTTTGCATTATTGATTATTCATTCAAATCATTGGTATATTTTAGGTATACAATATAATGACATTCATCATTGGAAATTTGCACCTTTACATAATCTCTCTTGGTTCTTATTTTTCACCCTTGTCCAGCCCTCCCTTCAACCCCTCCATCACTCCCTATTTACAAAGACTTTGTTTCCATTTTTTCATTTTCTCATATTAATTCCATTTCCTTCTTCCCTTTCTTGTACTCCTCCCACTTCCCCCTCCTCTTTGCCCCTTTTCTTCCTATTTCACATTATCTATTATACCTTTTAGTCCTTATTTACACTTTCAGTTTCTCACACTAGAGAAACTATTCGGTATTTACACATGTGTGTCCTATTTATTTCACTAAGAGTATCGCTTCAATGTGCATCCATTTAGCTATAAATGTCTCTAATTTCTCATTTTTTATGGCTGAGTAGTACTCCATTTTATTAAAAAAAAACCCACATTTTCTTTATCCAGTCTCCAGTTGATGGGCACTTGGGCTGTTTCCAAGTTTTAGCTATTACAAACTGTGCTGCTATGAACATGGGCGCACATATATCACTTTGGTATGATTCTTTTAATTCTTTGGGGAAGATCCCCAGCAGGGGAATAGCTGGGTCAAATGGGACTTCCAGTCCTGGTTCTTTGAGGTATCTCCATACTGATTTCCACAGTGGTTGCACCAGTCTACACTCCCACCAGCAGTGGAGCAGGGTTCCTCTTTCCCCACAGCCCTGCCAGCATTTGTTATTGGTTGATATCTTGATAGCAGCCATTCTTTCTGGAGTGAAGTAGAATCTCAGGGTTGTTTTCATTTGCATCTCTCGAATGACCAGTGATGTTGAACATTTTTTCATGTATTTATTTGCTATTTCTACTTCTTTGTCTGAGAAATGTCTGTTCATTTCAGATGCCCATTTTCGGATTGGATCTTTAAATTTGGAAGGTCTGATCTTTTTAAATTCTTTATAGATTCCAGATAGTAGACCTTTGTCTGAGGAAGAGCAGGTGAAGACTTTTTCCCACATTGTGGGTTGTCTCTCCACACTGCTGGTGGTTTCTCTTGCTGTGCAGAAGCCTTTTAATAAGAAGAGATCCCACTTGTTGATTGTGCTAGTTCATGAGCCCAGCCTATTATAAAGGAGAATAGAATTAATAATTAGGGGCTCTCCTGTACACCAAGCATATCACATGCTTTATGGTTAAATACTCAGGTTTTCACTAGGCATGGTGGCACAGGCCTCTAATTCCAACACTTGGGAGGCTGAGGCGGGAAGATTTCTGTGAGTCTGAGGCCAGCCCAGGCTACATAGTGAGGTGCTGACTAAATAAAAAATACCCAGATTCTGAAGTCAAGCAAATTACTGGGTTCAAATTACAGCACTGTACTTATCAGCTGTATGATCTTAGGCAAGTTACTTCCTCTTTCTGAGCCTTGGTTTCCTGAGCTGAAATATGGGTGCAACAAAATGTATTATATAGAGTTGTTGTGAGGGTTAAATAAGACAAACACGTACCAAGTCACGAGCAAGCACTTGGAGCATATGTAGTATTCAAGAAATGTTGGCCCTATCTCATTTACTGATTACAACACCAATGTGAAGCAGGTACAGTCTTTACCATCGCTACCATGTCAGTGAACAATGTTGTAATTGTTTTCCATTGGCATAATAAAATACTGGAGGCTGGATACTTTATAAAGTAAAAGTTATTTCACTTAAGGTTTGGGAGCCTGAAAGCCCCGTGGTCCCATGTTGGTGGATGACATTATGGTGAAGGCATTTTTGGAGAAGGTCACCTAGTGAGACAGGAAGCCAGAGGCCAGGAAGGAGCCAGTCTTACTCTTTCTATAAAGAACCTACTCTTGAGGAAGCTAAGCAGGTCACGTAAGAGCTACATTAACCCTTTCCAAAGGTAATGCCTCTCAGTGGCTTAAACAGCATTTCCCATCTCACAAGTTTGGAGGCTGGGAGTCTGAAATCAAGATGCAAGCAGTGCTGATTTCTTTTGCAGCCTCTATCCTGGGCTTGTAGACAGCTGTTTGTGTCTTTGCACAGCCTTCCTTCTTTGAGTGTTTGTGTCCTAATCTTCTCTTCTTGTTAGCACATCTACTCTGGAAGGAACTAACCAAGTCCCACAAGAACTACATTAATCCCTTCCAGAGGTGAGGTCTGCCAGGGACTGAACCACCTTCTGCCAGTCCTACTGGTTTAGGATCAAGCTTGAAGGCCTTGAACTTAATCTATAAAGATCTTCTCTCCAAAACCAGTCATGTCCTAAGGTACTGGGGCTTGGAGCTTTAGGGTATGGAATTTGGAGGATGCAGTCAGCCTTAACAACCCCCTTCTCCTGTTATTTTGAAGTTCTGATTCTGGAATGAGTGGAGGTGTCAATGTGTGGGACCTCAACCCCAGCCTCGTGTGGATCCAGGGCTGTGTATAGATCAGCAGGAAATGTGGCCAGTGAGGTGGCTCAGGATGGTGGCCCCATACCTCAGCCTGAGCCTTCAGAACTGCTCTCACACAAAGCTGGGCTGACGGTCTCCATAGCCGCCCTCAAGAGCTTGGCATGACTTCTGGAAAATGCCAGTACACCCATGAGGCTAGAAGTCTGTTCAGACAGGCCCCAGCCAGCAGCACTCACCTCCATTGGAAGACCAAGGAGAAAAGAGAATACCTGTTGGCTAAATGCAAAAGAACAAGCCTTCAATTAATGCCTCCCTGGCAGTTGTCAGGTGAGGATCAGAAGGGAGAGGGCCAGACAGTAAACATTTCCATCCGCGGTGGCTGTAAAAATCTGCTGAGATATCCTAGCAGAGGTAGGGAAGAGACAGGCACAAACAAGTACAAATAAATATGAGAGATCAAAATATATGGTGAATGTTTAAATTTAAAAATTTTTACTACGGTAAAAGATATATTGCCATGAACCCTCCCTCAAAATCCTCAGGCTGGGCTCGAACATTCAATCTTTCTACCTCAGCCTCCCAGTTTATTGAAATTACCATTGTCCTCTATTCTGAATAAAATAGAACAATGCATACACAGAGTCCACCAAAAGGTGTATACACACTTCAGTAGTTGATTGTTCTCATAAATGTCTGGAAGCTAATGGCCACAACTTTGAACAGCTCTGTAACCGTAGGGGCCAAGGGCCAAAGGTAACTTGTATTAATCTTATGATGTCTCAGTAAATTTAGTATTAAAATATTCATACAAGTTTTTCTTTTCCTGATGTATACATTTTTTGGTGGGATATATATTTTTGGCTCTCCATA